TATATCTTTATTTTTATAAAAATGTAATATAAATAAATATATAAGTTACCTTTATATTTTTAATTTATATAAAAATCATAAAAGACAACAGTTATTTTATTATGAAAGAATTAACAAATACTGTTAGAAATGAAAAGAGTAGACAAAATCTATAAAGGAATGAATGAATTTAAAACCTTTATTTTTTGGAAAAAGGGTAAGAAAATGAACCAATCCTATAGACCGAAAAAAGCACTTATAATCCATAAGTTAAGTCTAAATATATATTAAAATAGTTAATATGATCAAATTCTCAATCAATTCAACTCAAATAACAAAATATAATAAAAAAATTATTATACCTAAAAGGTAAACTCAAAATTAAAATCCTTCATTAAGTCTCTCACTCTAATAGTAATTCGAAACTAACCCAAGACAAAATCCATCAATATAAAAATTTTGTTAAGTAGTTGGGGAACAACTATTAGCCATTGATCTTTAATCAAACAGTGCTTGGATCAACAACCTGAACGAAAGCAGTACTCGAACTGTTAATACAGATAGAAACTAAAACCGTAATTTAAAAGAAAAAAAAAATAATATGTCTTCATATTTTAAATATCAAAAATTTTTATAAAATTATTTTAATAAATTTTTATATAAATAAAATTAATAATAATAATAACCTGGTATGAAAAAGAAAGCTACTAACATTCCTTTCACCTTTTGAAGTTTGGAAAGAAACTAGAGAAAACTTTTGCCTATAAGCAAAGATTTTTGGGGAAAGTTGCAGAAGAGTCAAGTATCACGGTGAAATATATTATTTTATCGTTAATTATTTACCGTAAGAAGTACCAACAAATTTAAATTAATTTTTTGGACAGCAGTAATTTTATATTAGAAACGAAAAAAAAATTTTTTTTTACTAGTAAGAATACTTTTTTTCCTTGTTTGATCAATATTTTTTTCTACAACTGAAGGTTCATGACGATAAGATTTAAAAAAAAAAACATAACAAATCAATGTTCATAGAGAAACATCTTATTCATTTATGTAGTTCTTTTTGCTCAATTTTGAAATTAATAATTTTTTAATATTATTTTTTTA